GCTGTTGCTGTTGCTGTTGCTGTTGCTGTTGCTGTTGCTGTTGCTGTTGCTGTTGCTATCCCAGTCACCAGAAGGGGTTTATTTACCTCAAATACAAGAGTCTCCTCTCAAGTCGTCAAAGTTGATATGTCCCCAGCTTCCAGTACTCTGATCCACAAGCCTGACTTGAGCCACTTTGCCTTGATATTCACTCACATCCCAGCATCGTCTTTCCATCGACTCAAAACACCGCCCAGTCTCTCTCTTCACCACAAGGCCGTCTATCAGTAGCTCAACTCGTACTTTCGTGACGTCACAGCCACCACCAATCAGAAAAGAGAGACTTTTACCCGTGATTTGAAAGGTTGGGGAAGTAAGTGTGCCTGTTGGTCCGTCACCTTGAATTTGTCCTGCGGGGTGAGATGGAGAAGGGCGATTTTCGGCGCCTCCTATCCACCAGTTTCCTTGTTGCTGCGCGGACTCACGGTTCCTGAATCTTGGGTTGTCGCCATATGTCGGCTGGTTGTTGAAGGCCGTCCCTGTTTTAGTCCAATGATCAATAGAATTTTCAAAGTCCATTCTACAGCCTTAAAGAGAGGGAACCAGCGTATTTTAAAAAACCAGATCGTTCTTTGCTATAAAGGGGGGTTTCAAAGCTGCCATGCTGTGGAACAAAACAATATGCCTCTCGTAATGCATTGCTCCTGTCCTGCAACATGATTCCTCTATTCGATTTAAAAGAAAGATTGCTAGCATAAAATTTGTGCACCACAAAATTGGACCGAAGTGTAATATGCATGGATTGAAATTTCTAATAGATAGAACGTTAGTTCTTTGTTCGTGACGGACAACGAGAAATCGATTGTGTGCAAAACACTTGGCTCATGTACCTTTTCTCAGTCAAATCTTACCAAAATATTAGAAGATATTGTGAATCATTGAGACACAGTCTTGGTGAAAGTCACTCGTAGATTCATTTTTTTATATTTGCGTACACAGTCTTAGATTTCAACTGAGCCAATCGAATACAGTCACTTTGTTCCTTTTTCAGCCATATTTAATCATACCGAGCAAATCTGAGGGCATTTCAGGCCGCATTGTGTCATGTCATGCCCAATATAATACTGAGCAAGCCGACGACTACTGACAGCCATATAAGGTAAACTTACTTGATTTGCATTGATCTTTAGAGGTTGAACCATCACCAACGGTTGTCATACCAGAAGGACATTTTATGCACGACTTTTCTTTGGCGTTGGGCTGGTAAGTACCACGAGGACACGGAAGACAAGCTCCAAGACCTCCGTGTTTTGAAAACTGCCCAGCGGTGCATAACTCTGACGCAAAGCAGATAAAAAATATGGTCATTTTTCCATGAGAAAGAGTAATGTAAAGTCCATAAAGGATAGCGAATTCCCCATGAAATTATCCTAGGTCAACCACTGAAAGGATCTAACCTTTGATGATCTTTGCTGACTAATAGACCTTTTAGGTTAAGCGCAATTAATGTTTCGTGTCATTTCCTAGAGTATCATTTCTTTGTTTAACGGTTGAGCACGAGAAGACACATGAATATGGTTGTACGATTCAGACAAAGAATCTTATTCCCAAAAGAATAACACGTTGTGGTCTGAAATGGGAAAACATTACGCCTTTGGTAACGAGGTCTATTTAAAAGTACTTTGCTTTATACCCTTTTACTTCAGGCGTATTGTTTTCTCGCCTATAGAAATACTAACCATTCCGGCCCTCGTGAATAATTATTTATCAATTACATAATTAATTAATTAATTAATTATATATTATAAATGTAACTCTAGATAGAAAAATCTTTTAAAAAATCCTAGAGAGAAGTAAGGAAAATAGGAAGACAATGAACTCAAAACCAAATCGGTGTACTCACTTTTACAGTCTTCTATGGAAGTTGTTCCAATGTCAAATGTACTGGTGCCGGCAGGACAGGGTAAACAAGATGTGCTGTGATTATTTGGTTGGTATTTACCCACTGAACAAGCAACACAAGTCTCAAGGCCCGTTGTGGAGTAACGGCCACCTTCACATATACCTGTTAATACATTGTATTATACATTTTACTTAGTATTTTTTTAGAAGTGCGGCGTACGTAAACCTGGACCCTTTAGTACAAATTCTACCCATTTTGCGCCTTTCGTTTAATGTCAGAGTGAAACAAATTAAGAAACTGGAGTGGAAATGCATTCTATTTTGTTCATAAAAAATCGACGGCACTGAAACCCAAGCCATATTTAACTGTTTCACTACCTTTACAATCTTGGAGGCTCTTCGCACCACGCCCAATGGTACTTGTACCCCCAGGGCACACCTTGCAATACACCTGGCCCTCAGTGTCTTGGTACGTTCCATTTTTACATTGAACACATGCTTCGGCGTCTTTACTGTAATACGTTCCTGCAGAACAGTCAACTGAAGAGAATTCATAGAGGATGGTTAAATACTATTAACGCTAAAAAAGCTATTAACACTAACTCTAGACATTGTCGTGAAAATTAAAGACTGTTCCCGGGTACCGGAAATTGTTTTCACTGCTATTGTTGTACTAATTTCTTGGAATCGTGGTCCAGTGGAAAACATTATTGGGCTACCAAGACAGAGAGTGGTCAACACCGGATGAGTGAGGTTAATAGCTGGATGGGTGACCTGAAACTTATGCCTACTATAGTTTTTAATTCTAATTTTATTTCCTTTTCTCTTGAAATAATTTTTTCATGAATAGAAGAGAAAAAGAGTATTTTTGTTTACAACTCGCCATTAGGTTGTTTGGATGGACGTATCAGAATATGAAAATGCCCAAAAGGGTTGGACGGACGTATATCGCTAATTAAGAATGCACCCAAGATGGAGTGGATGGGCGTATCAGAATAAGAATGTACCCGAGATGGATTGAATGGATTGGATGGACGTAGATTGAGAATGTACTATTGGTATACTGGGTATACCCTATCACTTGCTTACCACACACTGAACGATCCAATTCCGATCCACTGCCGCTTTTAACTACCACTACCTTCCCTAATGCGCATGCGCCTTTGACATCTTCATCTTCGACATCTACAGAGTCTACCTGAACTTTCATTACCATTGATGTTGCACGCTAAAAGAAGAATACACGTACATAATCTCGTCAAAATTGTTTCAGGGATGATTCGTATTTGTGTGAAGACACGACCTGTTTTCTTCACTACTACAATCATCAAAGCCACATCAAAACTATTTACCCTCTATAAATATATTTTTTCAATATTCTGGTGGGCGGTACTTTCAAAGTTGCATTGAACTGGCGGAGATCCAACTGGCTGAGATTACTGGCAAAACGTGAACGGTTCTTGCCGTCCGAAGTCGATTCGGCTTCGATTCCACACTAATTGAATTGTTTCTGAGTTGTTCGCAGAAAATGCAGAGCAACAACGCATCAAATGCTATCTGAGGTTTTTGGCTGATATATGCAGCAAGATAGCAATCATGTTCCCTTGGAAATCGATAAAAATAAGGAAAATTTACATGATGACAAACAGGAATGAGGCTCTACGATACCTTAATGGCGTCGTCGACAATCTGTTTATTAGCGAGCATTTTTGTCTCGATATCTTTCAACTTTTGTTTTTCAAGGCTGGACGAGTCTGGATTAAGATCTAGGACTTTCATCTTGATGTCGATGACATAAGCATTCTCATCGAGACCACGTCATTTTCGTTTGCTGTTCTTGCCACAGTAAACCTAAGGGAGGAAATGAACTACTTTTTATTTCAACTTTATCACAGTACTATATATATTGGTGAAATCTTTGTTCTTTGTAAGCAACATTTACATTCCTTCTCAATAGCACAAAATAGGGTTCCTTCTCATTGCGACAAAATAGGGTTTTGGTTGGCGTCAATCAAAACATTTCTATGACATTGTTGTCGGATAACGCAAAGTTTACAAGGGCACATGGGATGTCATTGCATGAAAAGGCCTTAATTAGTAGATCCCTTGCAGCAAGGCTTTGGAGGACTAGGTTTCCAATTCTCAGGAGATTGAAATTCTTTTGTTTTGTCCTCCAAATTGAGCCCCTTTGACGTCACACGCGACGGGTCAACGAATATTCCGCGCATGCTGTTAAAGATAACTGTTAGACCGAGCTCGAGCTAGTTCAAGAGGCTTACTATTTGGGTGCGCCCCCGTTCCAAGATCGAATTGGAATTTGGAAATGTTGTTTCCGTCTAGGAAGGGAACAAGCAATAATCAATAATCTTACTGACCTTGACATTAGCGAGTTGGCAGTCCACGTTGTTGTTGCCTAAGCAAGAGAACATGCTGCTCAACAGAGGATCCTGATTTATGAATTCAAGAAATTGCTCTTTGATTTTTTTCTGTGTTTCCTCGTTGCCAGACAAACAACTGCCAGCATAGACCTTGACGTTCTTGGCTACTCCAGTTGGGGAACTCTTAACTGCAAAACAAGTTAATCTTTTTACCTGCTTGTGGCATTAAACCATTGTATTTAAGACCTAATGAAATCCAATTTTATGCACTTGGGAAGGATCACAAACCACATATGGTGAACATCACTGAACAACATGGCTGCCACTTTTATTCCCTTAAGAATGATTACAAACCACCTATAGTGAACACCATCCAACATGGCTGCCACTTTTATTCCCTTAAGAANTAGTGAACACCATCCAACATGGCTGCCACTTTTATTCCCTTAAGAATGATTACAAACCACCTATAGTGAACACCATCCAACATGGCTGCCACTTTAATTCCCTTAGGAATGATTACAATCCACCCATAGTGAACATCATCCAGCATGCCTGTGATTACAAACCACCTATAGTAAACATCAGCCAAAATGGCTGCCACTTTTATGCAATTAGGAATGATTCCAAACCACCTTAATTGGCCATCATCCAACATGGCTGCCACGAACTTTTATTCCCCTCTTGAGAACGATTACAAACTACATTTGTGTGGTAGCTTATAGTAAACACCATTTTATTCTCCTATTGGTCCGTTTAGTAATCACCTGCACAATCTTTCCAAGGCCTTCCTTCAGGTAGTTGTTGATATATAGGAAACTTATACCCGTTCCACGCTCCATTCATACAGGCGTATGACGACCATTCCGGCTTTTCATCGAAATCGTAATTTTCATTACACTGGACGACGCAAACGTACTCTTGCTTCGCCTCGTTGACTTTGATGTTGCAGGAACGAATACCATTGGCTGGGGGGTCGTACAACGGACACGTTAGGGCTGAAATGAGAAAAACAGTGTAGTTTAAGTGAATAATTCTTTGACATCAAACCCAGAACCAAAAACCAATCCTTCTCAAAGACGATTCCGAGTTGGGGATTGATCCTAAGCAGTATGATGGACCGTGTGATAAAGGTCCATTGGTGAAACTGGATCGCTCTCATATCGCTACGCCACTCAGTTTTAAAACTGCGTAAATAACTTTCCCTACTCACGGCCAACTTGAAGAGGATACGAGCAGGTTGCTGTATTTCCCGCCTTGTCTCTAGCACTGAAGGTCAGTGTGTACTTTTTCCAGTAGAATAAAGCTCCTGGTTTATGGGAAGCCGTGATTACTGGGGCCGTATCGTAGTTATCCTGGAACTTTGGCTCAGGGAATACAACACGCTTGGGTCGTTCTGATGTGTAAACTAGGTGTTCTTTAGGGCATTCGAGGACTTGAGGTTTTTCCGTGTCTGAAAAAAAACACAACTAAAACCTTTAGTCCATGGCTAAATGGCCAGGAAACATGTATCGAGTAAAAGGTGGCAAAACCGTCAGGAAACATCGGGAAACATGTTTACTCAACACCCTCGTCCTTTATATATCTTGTTTTGACTAGATAGAGCCATATGGATTTTTAGAATGTTGACTTTCTTGGCTAAACGAGGAAACATCGAAATTGTTTTCATGCGTCTTGGAAGTATCGAATGTTTTTTTAGGCACAGCAGAAACATTTCTGCGACGTCTTGGAACAAAATTTGTTGCACGCAGCAATGTTTCGCATGTAGCTAAACTTGGAAACATGGGGGAAACATGCGCGCGGTAAACATGTTTCCTCGTTTAGTCAGGGCTCTACAGGCTAGTTCTTACTGGCGTCGAGAACCGAATCTTGGGTCAGAAGCATTAGTTCGTGTGCGGTGGAATTATCAGTGATAGCCGCTTGTCATAGGCGTGAGCACAAGCCAAGCAAGCCAAGAAAAAAACATCCGATTCTTCCAACTTTTCTAGTTGAACTCCTTTGCGCAAAACTCAAAACTCAAAAAATTGAATTTCATCTAATTCGAAAATTCAATTATTCATTCATTCAAGTAAAAGAGATTCCAGTACTCTTCGCCGCTACTAACCTTTGACCTTAACGGTAAAACTGCAATTCGACGTAAGCCCTGCATCATCCGTCGCACTGTAATAAACTGTGGTAGCGGTTTCTGATATTTGGAATATTTGCATAGCCTCGATATTTGGAGTGGAAATCCTGATTGATGGAGTTTTTCCCGAGTTGTCTGTAGCGTTAGCATTAGGAAGATTGACACGCGCGTATGATTTCCCGCGTTCATTGCCAACCTCTACGTTTTCTGGACACGTGATCTCTGGAGCCATCGTATCTACATGTTTATAATAACAGAAACGGGTCAGGTGCAGAATAGTGCTTATTTCAAATCAATAATAATTTAATTGATTAATTAATTATTTAATCGATGAAGGTCTAGGATATAAATGAATTTGTTCTGTAACCAGTCACTTACCTTTACATTTAGCACTAGAGGTAGTCCATCTTCCATCAGCTTTACAAACTCTTCTAAAGTCGGCGTCGGTTCCTTGACGGTCGAAGCCCTTTCCACAAAAGAACATGCAGACTGATGAACTAACGGATTTGCAGGCTTGTTTGGTGATCGTACAGTTTTTGGGTAGATAGTATCCATACTCGGGCTCAGGCAAAGGGTCGCAGTAAACAACTGGATTTAGAAATGGAATTTCTTTATTATATCTATTTCTGATAAGATTAAAACTTTTTGCCTCCCCCTAATTTCTCCTCTTTTATTTCCTTCCCTTCCCTTCACTTCACTTCACTTCACTTCACTTCACTTCACTTCACTTCACTTCACTTCACTTCCATTCCCTTCCCTTCCCTTCCCTTCTCTTCTCTTCACTTCACTTCACTTCCCTTCCCTTCCCTTTCCTTCCATTCCCTTCACTTTCCTTCACTTCCCTTCACTTCCCTTTCATTCATTCATTCATTTTTACACTCTTTTATATATATATATCAATCATTTAATGTTAATTAAGATCTTTGATCGTCATATCGATATTTCGACTGCCTTTCTTGTTCTTTCTCCCTTATTCATATCTACACAAGTTTTTCTTTTTCTTACCCATGTGAACAGTGGGTTAGCGAGAGTACCAGAATTGGAGGAACGAGCAGACGCGTTTTAGCGCGAACATTTTCACCAAATCCACAGGTAGCCCGTCTCGCTAGACTCCTGCATATGTAAGTATTACCCCATGGTATGCAATGAGAAACAGTGCATCAGTATCTCCTACCTCTCTGCCTTCGTTCAGATTGATCTGGTGGACATACTTTATTGACAGAATCACATCCACTCGGGTCGAGAATTTCTTGCCATGTTTTTTTGTAGAACCGCTTTCGTATCTGGGAAGCGCATTGGTTCTCAAATGATGAATCAGAGTCACTCCACTGGGACCAGGCCTGCAAATTGCAGACAGCTTTCGAACATTTATCTATGTAAAATAATATTTGCATAAAAGCAATCAGCAGAGCGCATGTCGTTGTCAAGTATAGTATTTTTTAGTAGTCTTGAATAATTTTAATTTTTTTAAACTCTACGGAAATTTACGTGGACATGGTAACCTTGGCGACCAATAAACATTTCTTGCAAATATTCTTTTCGCTTTTAATATCAAAAATTTACCCAGATCAGGGGCGGATCCAGGATTTTGGGTAAGTGCGTTTGGAAAATTCATTGGTCAACCAAAAAAAAAAAAAAGGAATAAACTGCTACAGAAAGCCCTTATTTATGTTTTTCACAGCCGTCATTTCGTTTAAATTTAACAACAGATGCGTTACTAGTCTCTTTGTTGTATCATATCATCCAACATGGCTACTGTGTCGGCTTTTGTCATTGGATTCTCTTGGGCACAGATTGAAAACAAGCAATAAATAGTTTGCAATAACTACCAAAGGAATAAATTTACGCGTGACAGTCACGTGGGTTGTTATAATAATAAAATAGATTGAGGACAAATCTCTTGTTAGATTTAACCAAGATGGCGGCTATGAAAATGACCAGCATTTATATTTAGTAAATACTTACGATGACAGTCACTCAAAAACCTCTTGCCAGTTGTATCAGTGGATTTGCCGCCAGGACATGAAATACACGACCTGCTTCTTTTATTGGGCTGATAAGTACCGATACGACATGGAGTACACGGCTCGTATCCCCGGGACGAGTACGTACCAGGGTCACATAGACCTAAAGAATCATAAAAATATAAAAGAATCCTGGTATGTATTAAACGCAGGAGGTGAGAGTATGGTGCAAAAATTAAAGGTCACGTGACCTATGATAAAAAAAAATAGATGTGCATGCGCACAAGCGAAAGCACCTATTCCTTCATAGGCACAAAACTGTGATCAGAAGTAAGCTCAAATCTCTTATATTGATGTTTGCCGTGTTGGTTCGTTGGTTCCAACGACAAATCCAACGCAAAACTCGGATCCCTAAATCGCGACTGGTATATTCATTACCAACCATGACAGCAGCTCTGCAAAACACGTCTATCAAAATAATTATATTGTTAATAAAAATGTACTCTAGGTTATAGAAAAGCTTACGTTTGCAAACTGGAAGAGATCCATCCCAGCCATGCCACTGACAGGTCCTTCTTTCGTTACCAACACGTGTGTAACCATAGCGACAGGTGTACGTTACTTGGCTCGTCTCGTAGAAGTTGTTACCAATCAGATTCCCATTTGCAGGTACTCCAGGATGTCCACAGTTCTTTGCTGGGGATTGAAACCTAAAATGATTACACTTTTCTACCCCTCTGAATGACTATATTATTTCCATGCTCTGTATATTTTTAAAAGACCTCGCGATAAAATAAGACTAACCGTAATACAGCAATTACTGAAAGCGCTGCAAGAACTGTGGAAGTGTTCACTTTATTGTCATTTTGCGTCCTGTATCGTTGCCGGGGGATGGAAGTACGTGTCCTAAAACGGGGGAAAACATTCTTTCCAATAACAGGCCCGTCGCTAGGACCATGAAAGGGGAGGTTCGTTTTTCTTCCAATCTTAGTTATGCTATTTCTTGAAAAAGTATTTATATTGGATCTTATTTCTTTTTCTTTCTTTTTTTTTTTTTTTTTTTCCCCCCCCCCCCCCATCCTTTTAAGGCTTGAAAGGGCCCTGAAAGGGGAGAGTCGTTTTTCTACTAATCTTAGTTATGCCTTGCATTTTTTTGTATAGGGGGAGAGAAAGGGGGGTTCGTTGGAACAATTGTAACCTCCCCAAGCAAAGGGTCTGCATTGCTTGTGGGTCGTATTCTGATACCTAAGTCTAATAAGATTACTGTATTTATACTTYTTTCKTTATTAGTGACAGTGACTTTGGAGATCAAATTTGAGGGTAAAGCATTTGATAACGCAACAAATGGCACAACCCCTGAAGGCAAACGTCTTCGGAACATACTTAGCGACCTTCTAAAACTGCTTAAAAAGATTTTCGAGGTAAAAAGCTTTTGCGATGAAATAATTTTCATTATTCCCCGTTTCTGAACCATTTTCTTTTTTCTTTTTCTTTTCACAGATTTTAAAAAACATTTTGAGGATTACAATCATCGATGTAAAGTACGTAGAATAATTTTTCTTTTCCCGCTGTCAATTAGCTTCACAGCTACTTTCAAACCATTTACTTTGTAAAAGTGACTTGATTTTAACCCTCTTTTATCCGGCCAGGAAAGCAAACAGTGTGATCGTGAAATATGAGCTCGTCGTCAACGCAACTTCGAGAGANTTTTTTTTTTTTTTTTTTTTTTTTTTTTTTTTGTATAGGGGAAGAAGCACAAGAAGATTGGATGTGACTCACAGTCGTAACCAAACCATCCGAGTTTATAGTTTGATATATATCCATCACCACCTCCACCGCCGACTAAAGTAGCTGAGTACATCGTAGCTCCTCTGACGGTAGCGAAATTCTCTTTATCGCGACATCCAACATTATAGACATACCTATAATTGAAAGACAGAATAGGAGTTAATTCAACTTTGATAATATACATATACATATAAAATTGTAAATATCTAATTCGAAAACCTAAGAATGTCTGATTAAAATAAATTTATAAAAAACATTTTGCAAAACATTAAAAGACCAAAAACCAATCAAAACATTACCTATTTTCGATCTCTTTACTAAAATGCATAATTTAAAGAAAAGTGTCAAAAACACCCAAATTCGATCAAAACCATGGCCTATAGTCCATTCTTTTTGGCAATAATGACCTATTTTGGACCTTTTCATAAAAATGCATAATTTATAAAAAAGTGTGAAAAACACCCAAATTCGATCAAAACCATGGGCTATAGTCCATGCTTTTTGGCCATAGACACCCATTTTCAAAGATTCATAAAAATGCATAATTTATAAAAAGGTGTGAAAAACATATAAAATCGTTCAAAACCATGGGCTATAGTCCATGCTTTTTGGCCATAATGACCTATTTTGGACCTTTTCCTAAAAATGCATAATTTATAAAAAGGTGTGAAAAACACCCAAATTCGCTCAAGACCATGGGCTATAGTCCATGCTTTTTGGCCAAAAATGACCTTTTTTGGACCTTTTCATAAAAATGCATAATTTATAAAAAGGTGTGAAAAACATATAAAATCGTTCACAACCATGGGCTATAGTCCATGCTTTTTGGCCAAAAATGACCTATTTTGGAGCTTTTCATAAAAATGCATA